TTACCTGTATAACAGACAACAGTGTGTTATTACAGATGATAATTACCACAGTAAATTATTAAAATTAACTTGTGGTGTTCCTCAAGGTTCGATTCTTGCTCCTCTTTTGTTCCTAATCTATATAAACGACCTTCCAAAAGTTTCTAGCAAACTTAAATTTATAATGTTTGCAGACGATACAAATTTATTTTACTCTTCGACAAACATCAAGGATCTGTATGATAATGTAAACATTGAACTTTAAAAACTTAATATATGATTTAAAACAAATAAGTTATCCCTAAACATAGAAAAAACAAAATACACTTTATTTCACTCAAACCAACAAAGAAACACACTACCAAATATTCTACCCTCTCTAAAAATAGAAAATATAGTAATTGAGAGAACTCACGAAACTAAATTTTTAGGAGTTATAATTGATAAAAATTTATCTTGGAAAAGTCACATAAATGCTTTAAACACTAAAATATCAAAAAACATAGGTCTACTATATAAAGCAAAACCTATGCTGTCGCAAAGTAATTTAAAACTTATATATTTATTTTTTATACATAGCTACCTCATATATGCGAATATAGCTTGGGCGAGTACGCATATAACCAAATTGAAAACTTTATATCGACGTCAGAAACATTCTGTAAGACTAATCTACCATAAAGACAAATTTACACACACTGAACCCTTATTTAAAGAAATGAATGTGCTTAATATTTATCAAATTAATATTTACTAAAATATATTGTTTATGCTAAAATTTAAATTAGGTCAAGTACCAAACCATTTTTTAAATAACTTTTTTATAAATAACGTTAATAAATATAACCCAAGAGAAAAAAGAAACTTTAATACACCTTTCAAAAAAACAAAACTTTCCCAGTTCTCAATTTCATATCGGGGTCCTTATTTATACAACAAACTAGTAACTAAAAATAAACCAATTTGCAATCTAGATTCAATTTGCAATCAAAATTCCTTAAAAAAAAAGTTAAAAAATCTGATACTGAATCTAAACAGATACTCAGAATTCTTCTAGGACTATAAATTAAAATACATAGGGGAAAGCGGGGCAACATGGCGAATGGGGTAAGATGGGTTTTCATATAACAACTCAACAAAAAATCTTAAAATTGGTTAAAAACAAAACTGTATTTGCATCTTGTATTTTAAAACACCAATTGGTTTTTTGAAATATTATCAACGCAATTTTATACGCATAAGTTTACTTTTTGCGCTTAAACAAAAAATTCCTCGCTTTCGGTTTCTCAAAATGGATGGCTTCAAGTTTTACTTCTTTAGAAGTAGGTTTTTGCGATTTGTGTTTATTTTGTGTTACTTTGGTTAGATTTTTTGTTAGTTTTTAAAATTTTATAAAATTGGAGGTAAAAATTGCATAATAAGTCATCTTGCCCCTGTCACGTGATCAGATAACAAATTTATGAACTTTTTATTTTATTATTTATTTTAAATTGTTATATTTACAAACTGAAAATTCATGCAGGTAATGAAGGATTTTGATAACATAAACATACTGAGAAAGTTTTATTGCTTCACAGCTGATAGTTTTGTAATAACTCAGGGCTTTCAAAACGTTCGCCATGTTGCACCGCTTTCCCCTATATATCAACTACAAAGTGAACTGACTCGTTTAGGTGTATTATCTAAATGACTCTTACCTTTCTCAAAAAATATATCAAAAATTGTTTATTACACACAAAAAAAAACACTTGATTTTTTCTTATCAAGTTTAGTTATTATGCTGCTTGTTATGTCTAATGTTTTATACTGAGCTTATTTTGAGTTTATTTTTTATTATGAGCTTAATTTAAAGAATAAATAAATATAGTTGTACTTAATATATAATTATATTTAACATAATCATAATATATCAAACACATTGTAAGGGCTTCGTGATAAGATCATTACGATCTTCTTGAAGTCCGGCCTGTACTATTTAATTATAAATTTCACTATATATTTTGACTCACGAGACTTGTAAATATTACAACTTTTAATTTACGAAACTTGTAAATGTTATATGTACGGCAAATATATGAATAAAAATTATTAACTTATAACTTTGTGTGAAAAAAACAATTGATAGTATTGATCACGAAATTCTTTTTAAAAAAACTACAACTCTCTCGAATCACAGGGAATGCGTTATTATTATAAAAAAATGGAAACAGTTTGTTAAAATATCAAATTAATTAAATATACCATATGGAGTTCCCCAAGGATTGAAACTAGGACCTTTGCTTTTTTTTATTTATATTAATGATCACTATAAAGCATCAAATTTAACAGCAATTATATCTGCCGATGACAAAAATCTTTTTCTAACTGACAATAACTTACCAACATTATTTAACAAAATTTTTCAGAACTTCCAAAATAAATTAAAAAAGTTATTTTAGCAACGCTGAATGGTTAGTGAATATTAAAAACGTTGAGTAACCGCAAATGGTTTTGACAACAAGTGGTAGAATATATAGAAAGTTGATCATTAATCAATAAAACTCATTTCTTTCTCTTGTTTTTTGCAATTTTCTTTGCAAATTATAAATAATTAGTAATACTTCTAAGCATTTCTAGGTTTCTGTTTTTTTATTAACAGATAGGCTAAGGTTTTGTCTTCAATGATATGTAAAAATTACCTGCTATTTTTTGCCATTTTGTTATCCATATTTGTTTATTCACTCTTCCTGTTCTTATGTGTATGATAGGAAAAGACCAGGGGGTTTGAAATCTTCAGAGTAATCAAGGATGTCTTCAGAGCAATCAGGGATGTCTTCAAATGAAGAACTTTAGCTTTCGTCATCATTCTTTTAATAGTAGTTATTTTGAGTTAAAATATAAATAGCTTTAAAGATTTTTTTTTTTAATATTTACCATAGCTTAATAAGAGTTATATAGTAATTGCGATTGCTTCGAATACATTAAGATAGCACAAATTGCGAAGTTTTGACTTCAATTCCGAGTGAAAGTTAGAGGAAGAAAAGTTATCTACCATATATAATAAGTTTATATCATGATAAGAACCATATAAAATAGGTTATTATTATGTTTATGCTATAGCAAAGTGTGAAAAAAAAAGGTGTGGGGAGGGGGGTAGTCTATCATCCGTAAAATTTTTAAAAATCTTTTGTTTTCTCTTTTTATTTGGCTTCTCTACCAGCTTTTCCTAAAAAAAGTTAAACTTTTTCAATTAAAGATTATTAAATATTTTTGGCCGCCTAAATCAATCAAATACAATTAAGTACAAAATCAAGTACAAAATACTAAATCAATTAAATACCCCCTTGTGCGTCAGTTCAAAAATAAAATAGTATAATTAATGAAAACAAAAGAACTTGGAGACCATTTTGGTCAAATTTTAACTGACGCCATTATATTATTTTAAAAAAACTATTTTTATTTTACGCCTGAAATGTCTTCTTTTTTTACGGTTTGATTTTTGTAGTTTTGTAACAATTTTTGTAATGTTTTTTATTCCACCTGATGGTGCTATCGGTCAGCGAAATATTGTAAATATAAATTAACATCAAAATATATTTAAAACAAAAAGTTTATACGCTGCCTTTTTAATCAAACTCATCAAGCATAAATATTGTTTTACAAGAAAATGATTTTAAAAGATATATATATATATATATATATATATATATATATATATATATATATATATATATATATATATATATATGTGTGTGTGTGTGTGTGTGTGTGTGTGTGTGTGTGTGTGTGTGTGTGTGTGTGTGTGCATGTGTGTGTGTGCGCGTGTGAGTGTGTGTGTGTGTATGTGTGTATGTGTGTGTGGTAGTGTCACAATTATTGGCATGACTCTAATATTGGCACTTTTCATTTTGTTTCAAAACTTATATAGCTTTTTATAGTTGAAAAAAAAAATCATCACCGTATAAACAGAGTAATTTATTGTCTATATATATGTATATATATATATATATATATATATATATATATATATATATATATATATATATATATATATATATATATATATATATATATATATATATATATATATATATATATATATATATATATATATATATATAGTGATGAATCCAGGAACTTTTGGTGGGAGGGGATGTTGAAATATTTTTGTATCACATTCTGCATCTCCCTAAAAAAAAAAGTCTCGATTTCTAAGATTTTTTAAGACTTTCAGATTCGCGGAGTTCTCACTTTCCCCCCCCCCCCCCCTCCTTATCACTGAATATATAATATATATATATATATATATATATATATATATATATATATATATATATATATATATATATATATATATATATATATTTATATATATATATATATATATATATATATATATATATATATATATATATATATATATATATATATATATATATATATATATATATGTATTATATATATTTATATATATAGTTACACAATTTATGATTGTAAAACTCTTTATAATAAAGGGATACTTGTTCACAACAGGCAATTTTTAGAAAATCTCAAAATTACAAATCATAAAGTTTTGTGAATTTAGATTTATTTATTATATTTGGATAAAAAAATTGTTTACATGATAAAGTATTATTTATTATTGGGTTTCATTTTTGAAAAGTGTATATACACGGCAGTATATATGCTTCTTTCAATCAGATAGCAGCTTTTAAATTAGAGATACGGTAAATTTATTTTATTATAAGTAGTAACAGTAGAAAATCAGAAAAACACAAAAACCGTGTCAGTTATTAAAGAAATTGTAATAGCGTTTTAAAACTAAACTAAAGTTTAAGATTATAATTGCAAAACTGTTAAGTTGCAAACAAAATACGAAAAGTATTTCAAAAAACACGGAATACACGGCCTAACGAAATGATTTTTGTGAATTTACTTTAACATGATTTTTGTGATTTTACTTTTTAAAAAAAGTTATTATTGTTAGATGTACTCTTTTTTTAAATTAAAATTAAAATAAAAACAAAAATTAAAATTTAAACAGCATTTCTTTATTGAGATCTGGCGCATAAACGCAATTTAAAGTCCCACAATGCAACACTGATTGAGGTTATTCGCTTTAAGGCCGCCGATTTTACCTCGCGTTAAACCAGTTCGCTTCAATTCAAAAATCTCCTTGTCAGAGGTAATAACTTCGCTAAGCATTTTTTGAGATTTTTGTGTATTTTGTATTGTATAAACTAAGAATTTTTTCTGCATTTTATTCAATCTATATTAGGTTTGGTTATTTTTATGCATTTATCAAATCTTTCAATTCTGTTAAATCAGTCAATTCTGTTATTAATGTTGATATTAGCTGCAAATCTTGAAAACCTTAGTGATGTTAATAAAGTTATAATTTAACTGAATCTCGATCGAGCAATAATTAAAAAAAACTAATATAGTTATTGATTGAATTAAGAAATTATATTTTTTTAATGAACTTTATAAAATTTAAAAAAAAGTCAGCGTCAGAGTATAGGGTATTGGTACAGGGTCAGGGTTAGTATCGTTGCCTTAAACCCTATTATATGTACTCTATGACGCAATTTGATATGTTAATTTAACTTCTTATCTTTTTGTTTTTAGTTTTGTATTATTAAAAACACCAATTTTATTGATTGCAAATGTCTAACCAGGGTAAAATTCCTTTTTTATGGGTTTTTTATTAATTTTAAAATATTTAAATTAATATAAAATGAATATTTTATTTTTTATAAAAAAAATTAATAAAATGTATTATTTTAGGTATGAAAAGAATGAATAATGACAGTGGATCTGGTGGAGGTGCTAAAAAAATGCGTGGAGATTCTGTAACATTAAGATTTCTTCTAATGAGCAAGGTATTTTTAATATATTTTGCATTACTTTTTGTAGTTGTGGCTTTTTTTTTTTTGCCTTGCCTTCTTAACCATTATACCTAATGATATTCTTAACCGTCCTGAAAAGATTGTAAATTATTTAATACAAAGTTATTTGGTTAAAACTTATACAAAGTTTAGTGAAATAAGTACTAGGTTTTCCTGTTTTAAATTTTTAAAATTATTTTTCAATTAAAATTTTTTTACAAGAGTAATTATATCAAAGTTTTTTTTTTAATTAGTCATTTCTGTTGATAGCCAGTATTAGATAATTTATAATAAACAAAAACACTATTAAATGTATAATGCAAATGATTAGTTAATTAATAAAGCATAAGTGTAAAAATTTATTTTAGTGTGTATAAATATTTAACACTTTGTATGGGCCTTTGTGTCCTTTAAAACATGTTTTTGATGTTATAATAAGTATCAATTATTTTATTTATTTTCATTTTGTAGCATGCTGGTGGAATTATAGGAAAGGTAAGAGTTTTTATCCAGTTAAGAAATTTAATGAATTATTTTTACTAATAAAAATAAAGAACTTAAATTAAATGTTTGAAATATTTTTCGATTGCTGCATTACTTTGAACAAAAAAAACTAAGCTCTCCAAAACTATTCAAATTTACCTTGACCAAATAGATATAAGTTAAGGTTTTTAAAAAAATAATTGATTTTTTTAGAAATATTAATTATAAGTGTACTGCACTTGTTTCATTATAAACAATCTATTTAAATAATATTTTACAGTTTAGTTTTACAGTGCAACTGTGTCTCACTTATTTTTTCACCATGTTCTCTCGTTAATTGAAAGAACATGTTGTAACTTGTATGCATTCTTTAGGGGTTTTATAGATAAGAATGAGACATTTTTATCGTGAAATTTACAGCATAGGAAAATAGAGTAGATATTTAAATAGTATTTAAAACTTATTAAGGAACTTTAAACAATTTTATAAAAACTTTTTGCATTATAAAAACACAACTAATGATCAGTAAAAACGCGCGTTTACACTGCACTACTGATTATTACAGGGGACAACTCAAATAAGAAATTAAAACTTTTTTAGTTGTCCTGTGGGTTGATATATAACTGATATATATTATATTCACACACACACACACACATATATATATATATATATGTGTGTGTGTGTGTGTGTGTGTGTGTGTATATATATGTATATATATATATATACACGGTGTTAGTTAGGAATATATTTTTGCGATATTGAGAATATTTATTATTATTGCTATACTAAATATTGGGAATTTTATTGATATTGGCTTATTACTTTATTACTATTTAAATACTTTTATTACTTTTTATAAAAAAGTCATTGAATTTTGGGAATTTTGAATCCATTGGGAATTCTGTGTTATATGTGGTGCCATTGGGCTTGGTAATACCCTGATATGTGTGTGTGGTGTGATATGTGTGTACACAAATGATAAATAAATTAATATACAAGAGAATATTAAAGCATGAAACTAATTTAAAAACATCTCAATAGTTCTAACCTTTCAATTATCAGTTAACACTTTCAATTAACAAAAGATATTTTTTCCTACATTGTCTTGTTGATGTAGTGTTTATGCTGGTAACCCTTTAATTGCGCAATAAAAATGTATAAAAAAGTTCAACTGTAACAAAGCAAAAACAATCACTCATTTTCACAGTAAAATATATAAATAATACATTAAAAGAAAGACAAAAATTGTGCACCCTATCAGTGGTACCATTTATAAATTACTAAAATTATTATTTTAAATGTAAAAAACCAACTAATATCTTTCTTCTTTAGAAAAGGGTTTTAAAAAAATAATGTCCATAACTCTAGAAATCATAAGTTATCATTTTCACATTATTAGTATGAAATGTGCAGCCATCCTATTTTACAGTATATAATACAATACAAATGCTAACATTTTTTTTTAGGGTGGACAAACAATAAAACGGCTGCGCTCAGAGGCAGGTTTTTCTTTGAAAAACTTTTTAATAAAATTTTTTTTTTAATTTGTTTGATAGTTTTTAATATTTTGTTTTTAATGTATTTTTTTCTAATGTATTTCTTTTTACTTTTTTTCCCGCTTCCTCTCACCCGTCCAACCCATTCACGTCCCTTAAAATGATCGATGGAAATGTCAACCCTTCATTGTACTACTTAAAAACTATAGTACAGTGCCACCGTCAATGTCCCGGATTCAAACTCTTCAGAGCGGTAGGTCCCGTTCCCGTTGTAAGTCCAAACATACTTTGTACTTCAGATCAAGAAGTGTTTGATTTTCTTAGAGATTATTAAATTAAAATTTTTATGACTATGTTTAAAATTATTTAAGGGGTTGGAATTCTGAATTTGTAAACTAATAAAATCAGCGCTTAAAATAATTATTTTAAATAAATTATAATAACAAGTTTCAATTCTTCTCAAACTTTATCACTTTTTGAATGATTAAAGGCCATTATAGTTTTTTACAACATTTTTAATTTTTTAGAAATTTTTTTTAAAAACCAACTTTAAACTATCTAAATTTTAACTTAATCGCTTAGTATTAAGACAATCTTTTAAAACTGTTTAATATTAAAATAAAATCTTTAAGTTTGAGAATCGCTGATCTTAATCAATTTAGCTAGTTGTTAATTTCATTAAATTGTAACTTCTTTTTTTTTTTTTTTTTTTAAATTAGTACTTTTTTTATTAGTATTATTTTTAAAAAATAAATAAACTAAGTTCTTGTTTACATTTCAATTTTTTTTAAAAAAATTTATTTTATTTCAAACTTAATAATATCAAATGTTTTGTTAACTGTGTAGTGGTGAAACTTTTTAGTCTGTTTGTATGGGAAGGTTTTTCTAAATTAAAAATTGCAATTTTCTTTGTGTTCTTTAAGTGAGTTAATGTATTTTTTTTAATTATTATTATCATTAGTATCAATATGTGCTTACAAGTTATTTTAAGCGCTGATTTATGCTTTTTAAAAAGACTTGATCTGTTGCTTTTATATATTTATTTGAAAAAGATGTTTTGCATGATATTGAATTTTTATTCATTCTTACAAATGTTTTTATTTCCATTTTTTAAAACTAATGTAATGATTTCAGGAATGGTCCAGTTGTAGATAATTTTTTTTGCCTCAATCTTTAGGGTTTTATCAATTGCAGCATCTCAAGAAAATGCTATAAAAATTTTATGTGAATGTTTGCCACTTTTTCATGAGGTATTTATATTATTTTTTAGGTAATTTTATTCTAAATATTTAAAATGTTTCAGGGTTTTTTTTTGTTTAATAGCCACCTTGCAATTATCTAATATTGTGATTTGCAATTATCAAATATTGTGATTTGTTGTAATGTTAGTTTTTTTTGTGTGTGTATTTACTAGCCACCCTATCAAGTCAGTGGTGGGGGAAGTCAGAATCAAAAAAATGAGTTTGAGGTTGATTTTCTTGTACATTCAAGTCAAGTTGGTGGAATTATTGGTCGTTCGGGTTTTAAAATAAAAGAACTTCGTGAGGTAATTATTTGATTATTTGTTATAGGTGTTAATTAGTAGTGAGTGTTGATGTGAAAGTGGTGTGCATGTGTTTGTAGTACACTAAAGTAAAAAACTAAAATTAATTTAATATATATCTTAAAGCAAACCAATGCAAATGTAAAGGTCTTTCAAGAATGTCTTCCAAACTCTACAGAGCGTGTAGTTGCATTAGGGGGTGGTGAAGCAGAAATAGTAGATGCACTGAAAAAAATTCTGGAAATAATGCAAGAGTCTCCCATTAAAGGAAATATAGCATTATATGACCCAAGTCAAGAATGGAATGGAGGACAAGATAACTACAGTGGTTCTCCAATGAATAATATGCGGAGTGGACCATTATTAGGTCGGGGTAACAATCGCTCTGGAATGGGTCGTTCTGGAGGAAGAAGTGGTTTTCAAGGTGGAAACTTTGGTCAACAAGGAGGTGGATTTGGGAGAGCGGTAAGTTCATCAATCACATCAAATCAAGAAAGTACTAATGTAAGTCTCTAGCATGTTGCAATTATAGTAGATGTATTAATTCAGCACTTGTACTTTTAATATAAAATTTTAAACATAAATTTTGTGCTTTGTGAAACAGTTTCAGTCTGTTTCTATATGAATAGTAATAAAAATAAATTCTGATTGCAACATCGTATAAGATTTTTTACATATAAATATGAAAAATGTCTTTTTGAATTAAATTGATTTATGCTTAAATAATTTTTGAAAAAAAACTTTTCTAATGCTTAATACTTTTTGTAAGAATGTAAAATTTTATAGTTTTGTATAAGAAAATGTTTCAGGGGTTTTTTTGTTGTTGTTTTATTTTCATAACTAAATCCATATAATAGAACCTTTTTTTATAGTACTTGTGATGATAGTTTTTCTTTATAACTACTATGACATCTTTGTAATAAAATTTTCGATCTATTTTTAACCTGTACTTCTACATATTTATTTACTTAACATATAATAACTTGTTTTGACTTTTTTTATTAGGGAGGCAGCCATGGAGGAAGTTTCCAAAATGATTTTTCTGGTGGTCAAGAATTTGGCGGTGGAGGGTTTAATAATTCACAAAGTTTCAATGACTTTAACAGTCAAGGTTATCTTTAACACCCTGTTATTTTAATATATAAGGTTATAGAAGGTTGAAAAACTTGTATTTTTTATTCAGTTAAAAAAATGTTGAACAATATTCAGCCCTCAGAACTAGGAAAGTTAAGTCAGCGATAAATTTTCAGCATTAAACTGAGGTCGCAATTTTTTGCCTACTTCAAACACTTTCAAGTCGGCGTTGCTGAAAATTAACTTTAATTCTGAGGGATGAATATTGCTGATATTTGTTTTTGACTTTTAATCAAGCAATTCTCACTTAAATTAATTTAAATTTCACAAACTTCTTGGATATTGTTTACATAATATTTGCTGTTTTATGCTCAGATGACTGGACATTTTCAATTTTATGTTATCTCTAAATTCAGTTGTCAAAAGGGGTGTGTTGGGAGTAAAAAGTTAGTCAAAAAGGGGTGTGTGTTGGGAGAAAAAAGTTAGTCAAAAAGGGGTGTTTGTGCGGGAAAAAATCCTTTTTTATTAGATAAATTGCAAGATTAATGATAACACAAGCTTTTTATATGAAAAAAAAAATTCAATTTCATAATTGTGTGTATTCTTAATATGCAGTTTTGTTAACTTTCAAATTAATAACATTTTGTTCTTCGTGAAATTAGGCATAAAATCATTGACATGATATTAATTATGATAAAATGATACTCAATACATTAAACCAACATGATGTATTGTGTTCATTTATGTATTGATTTTTTAATTTGTCTAGTAAAATATTATATGCTACTTAAGTTAACTATGTTAAAAACTGTAAGTTGTTTAATGATTTAAATTTTTAGAAAATTAGTCTGTCTTCAAATTTGACCTCTTCATTTATGCTTGTTTGTAGGTAGTGGTAACGGTGGAGATTCTATATTTGGCCAAGGTGACATACAAACAACTCAAGTTACAATTCCAAATGATGTAAGTAATAACGTGTGTCCAGTAGCCATACCTTATATTTGGTCTGCAAAATGTTGCTCGCTTTCTGAAGCAAATTTAAAAATAATTTAGTGCGCATACTTTTAGAATTATTTGTTTTTTATTTGTTGAAAATTAGTTCCTATCTTACAATTATCAAACAAGCGAGTCTTTAAAAGATCTAATCAGTTTTTATCTTTATAATTAATGTATTTTTATAGTTATGATTTCTTTTTAAAAATAATAGCTAAAAGTAACAATAACTTTAGCTAAAAAATGCTCTTTTTCTTAGTTGGCTGGCGCTATAATAGGTCGTGGGGGAGAAAGAATACGCAACATCAGGTACGTATTGTTAAATGTATTAACCTATTTATATGTCAATAAAATTTAAAACTTCCTAGAAAGAATAGGTTGTTCAAAGCAATCTTTAAAACGCTGGATTTGTCTGGATCTAGTTCTTGAGTTGTACCCGTGAGGATATTAGCGGTTTTAATATAATATCCTGATTTTATCAAATCTGTAGCGGTATTACTTAACCGTCTTATTAAAGGTTAATTTGCCGGAGTTAAGATGGTCTGGTGTTATTGATTCCATATTTCATCAGGTGTTTTTTTTTTTTCTATTGCTACTTTTATTAAAAAAAAATTTACAGGCAAAGAAGCGGTGCCGATATTAAAATACAAGACCCTGGTGAAGGTAAAAATGATAGAGTTATAACAATAACTGGAACCCAAGATCAAATACAATATGGACAATTTCTTATGCAGCAGAGGTAATTTGAATCTTTTAATAACAATTTATAAAGTATTTAGGTGTGAATATGTATATTATCCCTTTTATTTGGTTTTTAGCGTTCGCCAATACTCTGGTAAGAAGGGTGGTCAACTGTAGGTATTGCTTAACGAAGTGTGTCAAGTATTACCGACCCTGAAATCTCGAAAACAACGATATTTTTAATTAAATGAGTTTTAAAACATTAATACAGCGTTTCATGTGTAATAAGTTTTCGTTCAATCAGTGATAGAGAATATTGAAATAGTTACCAATGAGTATCACGTTTGTTTTATACGGGCTAAATGATACTTTTTGGTGCGTGTAAAAATGTTTATGGTATACGAGGTAGAATAACTTTGATAATGGTTTGTTTTTGTTTTTATTTGAATTAAGCTTCTCTTTTTTTTAAGAAAGTGATTTACTGGATTTTTTAAAAATTATTTTAGCTAAAAGAATCTCGAATTTTGAAAAAAGTCAATAAATTAACTCTTTATAATGGACAAATAAAAATTTAATGTAAAAAACAAACAAATTTTTTATAGAAAGAATTTTAAATTTTAACTAAATACAACTAGTACAAAAAAAGTTAAATGAATTTTTGGTTTAAAGCCCGAATACATCGTTGGTCAATAAAGGTCATTTATGTGTATGATATGTGTAGATATAGATAGATTAAAAATTACGATAAAACAACTTCTGTCGTAGCTATTTATTCTCCCGTATTAAAAGAGGACGGTAGGAATTTGTTTCTTTCGTTTTTAAATTCACCATCGTTATTATTTCGCGGCATTAAATGATTTGCGTATCTCAGACGAGTTTTTTCCTTTAAATTTCCGGATGTTTTTTGTTATTAAGGTAGATCCACTTAAAATAAAGTTGCTTAAACTATTGTTATTAAATACCAATTGCGATTAGGTTTTATTTGATATCAATTAAACTTTTTTTTTTTAATTAAAAATTTTGAAAAAAAAAAGTAATTAAGGACTAATTAGACAATTAAGCAGCCATTTTAAAAAAATTTTAAACGTGATTATACAAGTTTTACAAATGCTGTGGACTTCAAATTTCAGGATATGTTAGTAGTACTATTAACTAGGGTTTATACCACTTTTGTGTAAAAATGATAAATTCTTTAAAAGATAATCAATTTTTTCAAAAATTATTAAAATGAAGTACACAAAAAAAAAAATATATTTACTTTAAATGAAAATTGAACTTTCATTGAGGTACAAACCCTAGACAACATAACAAGGAACATTTGCTGAAAATTTCAAATCAAAATCTATAGTAGAAGTTGAGAAAACGCGTTTTATGTGTCGAAAAGTTCTAAAAAAATAAAACACAAGAAAAATGCTCCTAAAGATTTTGTAATTAAAAAATAATAAATTTTTTATCATTTTAAAAACCACCAGCAGAATATGATGCTCTTTCTTCATTTTCTTTATCTATGAATCCTTTTTTCATAGCTCTTAGTAGCTTTCTTTTGCTAATACCTGCTGTTGAAGTCTTTTTTATCATATAACCTATTCGAGTCTTGTTTTTTTAAATGGTCCCTATGTCCATAAATCGACCGGTCTTTATCTGTAGTTTTTGAAAAACTTCATATATCCCACTAGCTCCATCATTAAACTCTAAAACAGCAGATGCTACAGCTATTTCAAGAATATTTTGACTTACATAAACATCTTTAGGACATTTTTTTAAAATGAAATTGTTAATTGCTTCATTATTATTTTGTGTCTGTCCATGCAAACATTTAGATAATAATTCATCTCTACTCAAGTCTTGAAAGATGGGTTTTAAAATTTCATTTATTGCTAATGGAATATTTAATTTAGCTTTGTAAGTTGATTTACCTGTTAGTTTATTTGACTGCCACATGCACCAGCTATTTACATTTCGAGGACAAAATTTATGTCATCCAGTTTCACCAAGAATATCTGAGTTATGGAAAAGTGTTGCCCAAAAACCCTTTTTCATTCCATAAATGCTGTTAAGAATTTGCCTTATGGCAGTACCATAATAATTCTGCAAAGTATTTATAGCTTTATCACATTTTTGATTATTTATTGATATCAAAGTAACAACACCATTTATGGATGTGTGACCTCTTTTTTGCCATGTTCCATCAACAGAAACATGGCAATCAACAATGCTTGTATTATCACTGATGACATCCATCAAAACAATATCATGTGTCTCTTTTTCAGCATTTGACATAGAAGTATTAGCTGCTTCGACATAAGCACTGTGAAGTAATTTTGTTATTTTACCATAGTTTTTTTTTGTCATCGGTCTTGGCATATTCAAGCAACGATTAAATGATACTATCCAATTTCTCTAAAAGCAACAACAACTTGTGTATTAACTTCTTTTAATTATTCTTTTAATTTTAATTTCTTTAAAATTCATCTTTTAATTATTGCTGAAGTTTTAAATGTGTCTATAATTTTATCACAGCTTTCACAAAAAATTTCAAGTTGTAAACAAAATCCCATTTTTTCACAATGTTATCATGCAAAGTAATTTTATTTCCACATTCAGGACAAAAAATATACTTACTAAATATTCTTTTTAATATAGAAAAGTTCATAATAAAGTTATAATTGTTCTTGTAATCTTCATTGTTACACTCAATATTTTGAGTTGTTTTCGTTTTCGAAAATAACTTTTTTGCACTTGAACAACTTGCCATTGGCGATGAAGGTAAACTATTTTTTTGTTTATCATTGCATGTGTACTGATTTTCTTTAAACTTGTATTTACGTTTTCTAATTGTACTGCGAGTCATTTTTTTGTTTAAAAGTTGCAAACAAATTTGAAGTAAAAGTGGCTTTTAGTAGAAGCTTTCAAATATAGTTTAAGTTGTGATTCTAATTTGTAATGTTCAAGCTGTGGAGTTTATCCTAAAGTTGTTTTGAGCACTGGTACAAACATTAAGCAAACAAGATTCTTTTAAGACTGAAGTTTCCTCCAAAAAGCTGACTAGAAAGTTAAAAAACCAATAATCAAACCCGTTGCTATGGCGGTAACTAGGGAAGCCTGAAAAACTATGGTCAACTAAAACATAAATATTTAAAAAATTAAATTGAATTATAAGAAACTGTTTTCATATTAATAATCTCCGTTAAATTTTGAATAAAAATCAAGTAAAAAAAAATATGAATTTTTTTTGATTTTTAAGGGGATCTGCTACCTTAAATTTGATAAAATTTTAAACAGCGTTTGCTGTTCAACAAAAATGTTTACTGACAGAAATTTTCACGAGACTAATTTTACGAATATTAGAGATTCCATTTCGTAAGGAGTTATTTGATGGTTAAGTCAAAACGAAGCTATATATGTATATGACTATATATATAGTCATATATATGACTATATATATAGTCATTTTTTACTAATATAAAATAGATATATTTACATTGCCATACGGCACTCCGGATAAAGTGGCAGTACTTTCACAAATTAACTAAAGCGTACTAATAAAACTATGGTTCGAGAGCTAAAGATCATAGTGTTTTAAAAAATTTAATAGTTAGAACTACTGTTTTGTAAAAGGGATCGTCCATTATGTAAGTACGCTCTGATGAGATGGTCTGCAAATCGCATTTACGAGTTGGGGGGCAGGTGGTCTATTATAAAAGTAATGAGGCACTAAGATAAAAAAAAGTATCGTGAAATGTTTGGAAGGTAAAGCATAGGTACTTTTAGGGTTAAACTACCTACTACTTTAGGGAGCACGGCGATTTTTTTTGATTGATTCTCTCCCGACTGATCTCAAAATATAACTGGATAGCGGATTCTATTATTTTTCAGAAAAAAGTTGAAGCCAAATTCGGCCTACCAAAATAGCAGCGATTTAAGTTCCTAGCGGTGAAACCAATATAGATTTTACATGGCTTTATCAAACTACGATAGAAAATAATTAAATAAAGCTAATAAATTTGTTAAAAATGAAAGACAACAAATGATTTTTATAAATATTAGAGAAAAAAAAAGAAATTATTTTTTGAATAATTCAATTTATTATTAAACGGCATTAACAATTTTAGTTAAGCTTTGTGTTTAATTTATGTATCTTTAGTACAATTTAGTACAATTTATGTACCTTTAGCTACCCAATGCTGTATGCTCGAAGGTTAATAATATAACAGCATGGTAAGCAGCAGTTATCTCTACCTACAATTTTATACTCTCTATTTTTTGTAGCAAGATACCATTTTGTACAAATGCTACATGAACTATTAACTGAGTGCTGTCAGTATACAGGGGTATACAAACTCAGGGGTTCCATCTAGAATTATATTATAATTCTATTATTGCATAAATTATTTAAATAAAACATTCTAAAGTGTCACTTATGCTGATAAAAAAAAAAAAAAAAAAAAAGCAGGTCTGAATTATAGTTATTTATATCAACTTTTAAAACAAATAAAAAGTAAATAATCATTTCTTATAATTCAAAAAATCACTCAATAAAATTAAGGATGTATGTAACAAATTTTACATACATCCTCAAACAAACATTTGCTTGGAAAAACGAATTTATTAAATTTTTAATATAGAAATATTGAAAACACCTCTTTGGAATATCTCATTAATTAAAGTTATATACTATTTATATAAAGGCTGACTTTTTTATATTATTAAACTGTATGTTGCAGTTAAATAATTATATAAACATGTCGTTGAGTTTATTTGCATAAAAGATTGATTACATCACATATTAAATTCATGTAACCTATTTGCCAAAGGATAGAAGTTAGCATTGTGTGCATGCAACAAGGCTCTTTGTTTTCCATTTCTTGACATGGTATATAATTATATCATTAGTCTTAAAGAGATTAACTGTTACGCAAATGAATTTGTCTAGTCTAAAAACTGGTTTCATTAGATATTCGGTAGCAATTAAAATATACATTTTGACTGAGTAGATAAAATAGGTTCGCCATAAAATTATTCAACAAATAAGCTCAGTCAAAACCATCTAACAAGTTCTGTATTGTGCTGTGAGATCTTATTTAGCTGTGAGGTCTGCAAGAATGTTTAACAACAATATCAATCGCTAACAGTTTACAGCCACATATAAACAACTCTTGATGTTAATTAGGGTTCAGTTTTTCCAATAGAAACTGCAGCATCAGATATAAAACTCATATTTTAAATATTTTAGATAATTCTTTTGCTCACTCCAGTACTAAATTATCTGACTAAAATTGATTTAACAAAAAATTATGATTTGTTAAAGAGAAAACCAACTAATAGTGACCACGAATATGCAGATGTTCCAAATTGCAGAATTCTATCTAAATACAAAAAGGCTTTGATCTCATATATTGCAGGATATGTAATTAAAATAGCAT